CGGCAGCAGCTTTCTCTAACCAAACACTATTTGAATCTATCTGAAAAGCTGGAATAGAACCACAGTAAAATTTTCTAGATGTCCAGAATATCATTGTTATCTGCCAGACCACATTCTCCCATTGGAATTGGCTGGCCAGTTCAATCCAACCAGGAGAATCTAATAGCAATATACTATCCTACTTCAGAGAGTTGAAGGGGCCAAGGTTCAGTAGTGCTGCTTTTCAGTTCCTGCACTAGTCCTTTGGAATGACCTCCCAGTGGACCTGCAGTTGGCTCCCACCTTGACTGCCTTCCAGAAGCTGTTCAAAAATAGCTCTCCTGGAGGGCATTTGGGCCATATGGCTTGGTTATTGTTCAGTTTAGTTAATTTAATTTTAGTCTATGTTTTCATTAGTTTGTGTGCCTCTTACTTTTACCCATTTGGTTTATTATATTTTGTTTCTTGTGTCTCTTTTTTGTAACCACCAAGAGTTTTTAATAAATAAACAAACAAACAAACAAACAAACAAGTGCCACAGAAAGAAGGAAGGTCAGCTGCAGAGTAATACTGCAATATTAATTCACTTGTATATTCATCTCAAGCCATAAATTTCCTATACTTCTAACATTATTTCCACCTGAGCAAACTTACCGATAAGTATACCTTCACTGAATGAAAGACAAAATAAGCAGAAAACATTTTAAAAATGACCCCAGGGTTTATTATATTAAGTAATATAATCTAAGAATCAAGAAATAAATTTAGAAGTTTTAGAACGTTTTGTTGTTTAAATGAAATATTCCTTGGATTTAGGGCAATTTAGCTTATCTGTTATATGACTTGTGGGGGTAGGGGACAAAAGAAATGAATATAGGCACAAAGCACTGATTAAGCATTCAATCTTTCAAGCACTGGGTTGGATCCAAACTTAAAAATGAAATCAAATAGGACTTGCTATATAAATTAACTATTTTAAATGAAATTCTATTTAGCAGCTGTACTTTGAATAAATCTAGATCCAGACCTAAAGAGACGTAGTTATAATAAATTAACTTGAAAATTATATTGTGACACCAACATCTTCAAACATCATTATTCTGCAGTAATTCTAATGTATTTACTACTGTTTCCTAATCGAATGCCCTTCTTAGTTTTAGGTTGAGAATTATGTGAAATGCACTCCCAATACCTTTGGGACAGATTTGATGAAAACTACTAAATTTGATGAAATTATTTTAATCTAGTTATAGCCATACTTTGAGAGGTACGATAAGCCTTCCCAATATCCAGCTCCAAGCCAGTTCAAGTTGTCTGCAGATAGATTTTTTTTTATCCCTCTCTGTAATATGAATAACTGAGCTGCTAACAGGACTCTGGATAACCATGGAACCTCTACAAGTGTGCATTAAGGACGGAAAAACATTTTGGAATGGGAATCTCAAGTTGTTGTTGTTCAGTCATTAAGTCGTGTCTGACTCTTCATGACCCCATGACCCACATCACGCCAGGCCTTCCTGTCCTTCACTCCCTCCCTGAGTTTGCTCAGTTTCATGCTCATTGCTTCAGTGATGCTATCTAACCATCTCATCCTCTGCTGTCCTCTTC